AGATCAGCAAGGAAAAAAATCTTCTCCCTGTGCAGGAAGCTGGGTGGACAGATGCATCAGCTGGGTTTTATCTTGCTTGCCCTGAAGCTCACCAGACTCAGTAACAGTTGTCACAGTGCAAATTAGATTTTCCTTAGGATTGTGGGAGATAACATCCAGGGAAGACCTCTCAAGGCATTTATCCCACCATCAGCTGAGCTGGAGCTGCTGGGTACTCCCATGTCCTCCCCAGAGCAGACACAGCTCCTGGGATGGAGAACAGAGCCAGGGGGATCATGAGAGATGAAGCCAGCCTTGATGTAGGCACTGCAAATTAATTTCCTATAATGGAATCATAGGATGGTTTGCGTTGGAAGGGACGTTTAAAGGTTATCTTGTCCAACCCCCCTGCAACGAGCAGGAACATCTTCAGCTAGATCAGATTTATGGGATTATGTCAATGCTTTTGGTGTTGACTCTTACCACTACTCCTCCATCCACATCTTTCAGCAGTGCTGACAAATAAATTCAGTTTTGATACACTTTTTCTACTTACCACACCACTCAGCCTCAAAGAGGACAGAGCTGGACACACAGACAAGGGAAATTAGGGAAAAATATTCACACTCACACAGCTTTCCATTAACTGTGAATGCAGCAGGGGCTCCCCTGGGGATGGGGAAGGGACCCTGACATTTGGCAGAGTTTAGGAGCAGCAAGACTGATTTACACAGAGCTAGAACCCAGCCAGATCTCTGGCCACCTCCATGAGAACTGTGTGTCTACAAAATGCCTCTAAGCCATTCAAACACTTCCCAATACCTCCACTTCCATCTAAAAAAGAACAAGGGGGACATGATTTATGCCATATCTCAACATAAATATTCCTTCCTAGGACATCTTGGTTGCAACAAAACTGCCCAAGTGCACCTAGAAATATTGCAAATAATTCCTGCTAGAGCCCCTTGCGAAGCAATTCCTGAGAACAGCATTTTCCTTTTATCTTTTTTCTCACAGATGGATAAAAAAGGAATAAAACCCCTCCAATCCCATGAGTGAGGGCAGCCCCTCCCCAGCCCGAGGCAGGTGAGTGGTGCAGGCTGTGCTCCATCCAATGTGCTGCATTGTGAAGGTTTGCCCGTGGTTGAGTTAATCCCAGACACATTCCTGAGCCATCAATCAGAGCTGAGTCAGCCAGCGTGACTGCTCTGCCCTTTTTATTTTTTTTTTTTAGCCATCACAAGTTCTCTGCCTTGCTTGCCAGCAGTAGCTGGGGGTTATTCTTTTTTTTTTTTTTTTTTAATAAAAATGGGGCTTGACTGGGAGCAGGGAAATGTTCCTGCTGTCAGAGTATAACCTTTAAAGCTGCGCTGCCTCAAGGAGCATCCCCTCTCTGGGATGCTGCTACAAAATTCATCACATGGAAGGAAAATTAAGGATGCTGCTGCCTGGGATGGCCCTGGCTCCCCTCCCTCACTTGGGGGTGGTGTGACACAAGCCCCATCCTGCACATGGAAAACAGAACAGATTTTTGGAGCGGGGGGATTTTCTTACAGAGCAACCTTGCAAATGCTGCCCAAAGCCATTCTCAGGGAGGCAAAACCTTCCCCCCTCACTGTGCTCTTCCCACAAGGACAAGGATTTATCAGGGCTTCCAAAGAGCCCCTGGGGAGGGCAGGGGAGCTGCACTGCTGTTGTGGCTTCGTGTGACCTCAGTCCACTCCATGCTGGAGGTGTTATCAGAGCCCCTGCAGGGCTCCCTGTGAGGAGGGTGCAAGGCCACATTCATTGCCCTAAAACAAGTGTTGTGTCTCTGCTTGGCTCAAGGAGACAGCCAGGTTGCTAGAGATAAAAAGAATTACTAAAAAAAAATTAAATCTAGTGGCTGCTGGATTTTCTGGGGTCCTCCCTGTCCTCAGGATGCACACAGGGATGAGCATGGCCACAATCTCACACCTCAGCACGGCCACCTACAAAATATTACTGCAGGTGCCTCAATCACATTTAAAATGAGAGAACACCCTCCTTGGTGAGAGGGCCTGGAGCACAGAGCAGCTGGGAGAAGGGAGATGATCCCTGTGCACCCCAAAAAGCTCTGGCCCAAAGCAAGGCCCGACAGGCCCTGCCAGGCCAGGGGAGAGCAGAGCAAGGGCTGCACATCACCAGCAGGAGCCAAACCATGGAACTGAGCTGGGATGAACAATACTCTGCACCTTTTAGCCCCTTCAGCTCCCCACAAGCTTTTAGAGATACAACTCCCATAGTGGGACAAGCCTCTAATCACAGAACCCAAGGCCTGCTCCCAAAAATCATGTAAAATTGCACCTTTTCCTGCCTTCTTCCACTTTTTCACTGGAACAATAAATGACTATTAAATTAATTAATAAAAAACCCACACATATAGTTTTACAGGGAACTTAAATTGCAGGTGGCAGCTGCTCTTTTCCTGCCCTTTATTCAGCACCCAGGTATTTGATTTCAAGAACCAGACTAGGTTTGAATAAATCCCTAGTCCTGCCTAATTTGCACCCTAGGTTTAGATCTAGGCAGGACAAGTCCCAATACATCACTTTTTCTATCCAAGAGTGATGGAGCACATAGAGCTTGGGAGGCATTTGTTAGTTCTAAGTAGGTGTTAACACTTACAGAATTCATAGAATGGTTTGAAAAACATCTTCTACTAGACCAGGGTGCTCCAAGCTCCCTTCAACTTAGCCTTGGACACTTCCAGGCATGGAGCATCCACAACCTCTCTTTTATGGCAATTATTATTTATGAGGCACAGGAACACATGAATTCTGACACAAGGAAGAACCAGATCACATCTGTATTTCAAGATATTTTATTGGTCCAGCAACTGCAAAATATACAAATTTCTGAAAGGCATACCCTGTTTTTAAGCTGGCACAGCTTTATATCAGGCAATTATTCCAGATGTATTTACAGAACAGTTAACATATCACAAATCAAAAAAAAAGTAATCCCAAGTAACTACACCCTTCTCTCCAAGCTTTGCAGTATACATTAAATAAATAAAAAGCGCTTTGCTATTTAAAAAAAAATTAAAAAAATAAATTCAAGTATCACAAAGGAAAACAAACCAGAGAGCAAAAAAAGAAAGGTGGGGGAAGAAATCATTGGTGTGGTTTGACATGTCCTCTCTGCCAATCTGCCTTGGCTGTGGCATCAACGGCCCAGGCCTTGGCTCTGTTAACCAAAAAGCTGGACAGCAATTTTTTTGGGGCAGTTGTGATGGCACAGGGTTGACACCATCCCAACCCCTCCAGCACATGATAAACTCAGGAAAGCAGTTTTCCCAAAGCTGGAAAAAAAATACCATGTTCAAATTCCAGATTTCTGTAGACCTACTGAGACATCTATTATTACTAAAGGATGAAAGTTTAGGGCCATTTTGGGTATTTTCTGTTTTTTTTTTTTATATATATATTTATATATATACACACACAAACACACACCAAAACATCCGCGCAATTACACGTGTACAGGATCGATCTCGGGGTAGCCACACGTCATGTTTGTATTTGCTGGCTTATCTTTTTGCAGCAGCAGCAGCAGGAGGAGAGAGATAAAACTCCCCACGAAGGAGGAAGCTGAAAAGAGCCAAGTGAGTGGCCTCCCCAAAACATTCATTTATCTGGAAGGCAGAGAAACCCAAAGCGCAGCTGCCACCCAGGGCACACGGAGGGGGAAGCCTGCTTTTAATGAGGCTGTTAAAACAGAAATAAAGCAGAGCAGGGTGGGAGGAGTGTTCTTTGCTTTATCTGTACAGGACTATGATACACATATGCACAAGCTGACACAGGCAGGGCAGTGCCAGGACTGTCACCCCATGGGACACGGGCTGAGCGTGGCCCCGGAGCCCTCCCGCCGTCGGTGCTGCTCCAGCGCGGAGCACGAGGCACTGTGGTTCACCTTTTCCCAAAGGAAAAAAACAGACCAAACCCACCCCCAAAACAGGCACACACCCTCAAAGAGATAATTTCTCCACCAAACATCTCTGGGGATGGTGTTCCCTACACAGGATGCTGGGGAATGCCATGGGAAGGATGAATCCAAAGAGTTGCCCACCCCTGGTTCCCCAGCCTAGTGCTGCAGGAGTGGGGGGCTGCCTTCACCTCCTGCCTCCAGCAAATAAAAAAAAAGTGAGATGGGCATGGAGAAGATGTTGCATATAGATGGGGGGAAAAAAAACCCAACCCAAAACCCTAAAAAAAAAAAAAATCCAAAGTCCACAGATTTCTGCACAAAGCAATAGTGGTAAATTGCCATTTTTAACTGCTGTCTCCCAGCCCAGGACAGGCTGCCTGCCAGGGATCTTATGGATCAAACCACTGGGAGTTGGCTGATGGAGTCAGTCAGGTCCTCACCCTGTTCCCCCCACCTCAAACACTGTAACTACTATTATTTTGTAGTCCCAGCTTTCCAGCATGCAAAATACAATTAAAAACAAACAGAAAAAGTTGCCTGTATTCAGGCTTCCCCTGTTAAGGGGCACAACTAGGAAAAAAAATAAAGTAGTTATGCTTCTGCCACAAATAAAGTGCAAAAACCAAGCAGTTTCTAAGTATACACATACACACACAGATGTGTGTGCATGTATATGTAAAAGTAAAAAAATACAGACAAAACTGTCCCTTCTTGTGGCTCTTTGCAGTCAGACAGGGACTCCTGCAACCCAGCCAGACCTCTGGCCACTTCCATGAGACCTGTGTGTCTACAAAATGCATCTAAGCCTAGGGATTCAAACCCTTCCCAATACCTCCACTTCCAGCTAAAAAAGAAGTAAGGGGAGATGAAGTACCAGCACAGCACCTCAAACAGTGCCCAGCCTCCCCAAAATTCAACCCATGCCTGAACTAAGACCATCCCTGGGTGCTCCCCAAGATGAAAGCATCACCCAAGCCCATGCTGGCATGGTTCCTCATGCACTGCAGGCATCTTTCAACCAGTTTTAGCAGCAGATAAAACTGCAAACCCCTTTAAGATAAATTGATTTAAAAAAAAAAAAGTGAAAGAATGGGTTGGGTTTTTTTTATTAAACCCAGCAGTTCTTGCAGTGAAGGAGTTCACACAGCTGCTGTCCTGGTGCTCACAGATGTGCATGAGCCAGGCTGGCATGTGTGACCAGCTGTAGTGTGGGTGAGGGACTGCAGCACAGCATGTTAGGGGCTTATTCAAAAGTAATTAACAACATTAATAATAATTAAAAAATAACGCAAAACCGCTTTACCCATCCCCCCTTCCCCCTATTTCTCTACTAATCCCGCACCATCCACATATATACACACCCCACCCAGAGACAGATGGGTACCAATCATCTATACAGAAGATCAAAAACCACTAAAAAGAGAAGAAAATGAAACTCCTGTGCACTACAGAAGCACTTTACAGCTCGCTACGACCTAACAGGATGCCGGAGAGGAGAGCAAACGCTGCAGCCTGAAGAGCTGGCGGTGACCCTGGGATGGAGCTGGGCTCCTCCTGGGCTCTCCTGCATCCCTCCCCACTGAGCAGAGCAGGGTTTGGGGCAGGGGGAGCAGAGCCAGCCCCGCCTGGGTTGGAAGCAAGCTTCGGGAATGGCGATGGGATGGGAAGCTGGCGGCGCCGGCGGCCTCACAGCGGTGCCCACGGAGTCACGACGGCTTCTGGGAGTTGTTCATGTTCTGCAATGAGAGGGGAAGGAGGGGTTGGGGTCAGGCTCCAGCCCAGCAGCACCTTCTAGGAACACATGAACACAGCCACACACGGGTCACCACAAAGCACCCACCACAGAGGGGAGGACACTGCCCAGCCGAGGAGAGAGGCAGTGACTGACCCACTGCTCAGCTCCTTGTCACAGACATCTTTTATGAAAAATCCTGTCCTTAGGATTTTTCCTCCTGAGAAGCTGAGAGGCCTCAGGAACAAAATGTAAACAATGGTTATCTGCTGCTGTGGAATGCAACAGGTGCATCTGTGATTGGTCTCATGGGGTTGTTTCTAATTAGTGCAATCACAGTCAGCTGGTTTGGACTCTCTGTCCAAGCCACAAACCTTGGCTTGGACATTATCATTCTTTCCTTTTCTATTCTTAGCTAACCTTCTGATGAAGGTCTTTCTTCTATTCTTTTTAGTATAGTTTTAATGCAATATAATATATATCATAAAATAATAAATCAGCCTTCTGAAACATGGAGTCAGATCCTTCATCTCTTCCCTCATCCTCAGACCCCTGTGAACACTGTCACAAGCCCCTCCTCAAGCATTGCCTGGCTTTAATTAGCGGTTTAGAATTTAGATATCCCTAAAAACTGAGCTGAAGCCCTCCTGATACTGTTGAGGCAGGGATGGAGTGTAAGACTCCAGTCTTCAGAAGGTGGATCAGAAGGCAATTTAATGAAGGTAGTGGGACTGGACATGGCACTTGGTGCTACAGTCTAGTTGAGGTGTGAGGGCATGGGGTTGGACTCGATTTTAGAGGTCTCTTCCAACCTCATTATTCTGTGATTGTATGTGTGACTGGCTAAGGTGAGACTTTGGTCTCAAAGTAAAAACCCCTCACACTATTGGTGACTATGAATAGCACACTCTGGAGAACCATATCTATAAACAATGATTAAAGAAGGAGAAATAATTGTTTGTTTAATTCTTTTCTCAGCCTGGGAGAAATTATCTCTGTTCTTTCTTTGACCAAGCTGAGAATATCCACACCCTCTCACCCCACCCTGTCTGTCCTTCTGAAGCTGCTCTTTGGTCAAGGCAAGGTGACAGAGGACCATGGTCTTCATTTAAGCCAAATTAAACATCTCTCTCTTGCTCCCCTTGAGGGTGGGCAGTGTCCCCCCTGCCTGCAAAGGGCAAGGCCATTGTTTGTCCATCCTTGGCAATGCCAAGAACAGGCAGCTCCTGCTGGCCATGCCAAGGACCACCCACCACCAGAGGTAGAGCAGCAGCACAACTGCCCTGGTGACACTCCATGAGGTCTCATGGGCCTGAGACACGCCCCAGACACAGCCCTGGTACAGGATGATGACAACAGGTACCCACCAGCACGTGGTGAGGACCACAAAACCAGAGACAACCAGCTACACACAAGCAGGAGCAGCCCCCAGAAGAGATCTGCTCCAGGAAAAGCCCAGGGGGACCACAAGGACATTGCCCAACTCACAGAACTACATGGAACAAGGTAGGGGAAAAAGGGACTAGGAAACAGCTAGGAAGGATTCTCTTTTTTTGTTTTGTTTGTTTGGTTTGGTTTTTGGCAGTTTTTTTTTTTTGTTTGTTGGTTGGTTTTTTGAGTTTTTTTAATGCTTTTACTACCTAAGCTGCTCCTAAAAGCACCAGCAATCCCAGCCAGGCTACAAGGCAGAGCAGGCTGAGCTGTTCTCTCTGTTGCCTAAGGAGACAGGAGGAGGGTGAGGAAAAGCCACATGCACCACAGCCATTTACCTTGGAAATATTAGCAAAGAGAAAACTTTGAGAAAGTGACAAACGGGTCTTCTTTTTAAGCATGAAAAGTGAAGGGAAGAAGAAGGGAAGGGGGGAATCAGGTGACTGTTCAAAAGTGCACTTTGGATCACAAAGCAAGCAAAAGGAAAAGAAACCATCACGCCAGGTAATCCCACATCTACCAGCCACCCTAGGTGTCCCCTGGTCCTCCTGGATGGGGATCAAGACCCCAACAGTGAGGGCTGATGCAGTGAAGCTCCTATACCAACCCAGGCTCATGATTCAAGCTGTGACAGAGGCACTTTCCACCTCCCCAGCCCCTTACAGGAGGTGACAGTGAGGGACAAAGCAGTGTGCAGGGCAGCAGCCTCCCAGAGCTAGCAGCAGTGTGAGTGTCACCAAGCCTTGGGGTTGGCATGTCCCCATGGGTCCCACAAAGTCCCACACTAGGAGGGGGACACAGGCTCCCAGCAGCTGGAGATTTAAACTTGCTGCTGCCAGCCCACACCTGGTGTGGATAAAACCATCACTGCCTGCTCCAGCAAAATCTGACACATCCATCTCCAAATTCAACACCTGAGGGTGTTTCCAGCCTCCCAGCCAGCACCAAGGCATGCAGTGCCTTTTGTTCCAATAAACATGTGTAAAGGGTGGAGGGAAGGATGGACAAAACCTCAAATGCTTTTACAGCAACCCAAGAGGAGCAGGTCTCATCAGGGCTTTCCTGGCCATGAGCAGCAAGGGGAGGATCACAGGCATGCAGGCCATGCTGAGCAACTCAACTTCTACACTCAGTGATCTCACCTAACCCAGCCACCAGCAAAGCCAAGTGCAACAGTCCTAACTTCCCTTTTCTCAAAAATGTTTACTCTAAAAGGGGAAGAATTATGAGATTCAAAAGCTGCTACAGGCAGCAGGGCTGAGCTCTGGCCTGGCCATGGTAGAGCAGATCCCTCCATCTTCAGCCCACAAAACAACCCAAGTCAGGGATGCCCACAGACTGATTTAAACTGCCCTCAGAGGGCAAAAAGACCCCCTGGACACTGCCCAGTATCAGCTCTGCCCCAAAGTCTTCCCAGTCTTTGAGAAGACCTCTGAGCACACAACTGCTGCTCTCAACTCAATGTAGCATTAACTCAGTCCAAAGGCTTCAAATTTACCCAGGAGCTGTCCTGTTCCTGTTCCTCAGGGATATAACAGCCCTAAGCCAAACTGCCAGAGCCTTGATTGTTCATAATTAATGCATGAAATGCTCATGGTGTTTTGCTTTCTTAACAGAGCCAGAGAAGGGCAAATTCCATTCACTCTGCCCACAACACCTAGGCTGTTTCCAAAATCCAAGTTTGCAGATGGCTGGTCCCAGAATCATCCAGCTCCAGAAAACATATTGCTGAGAAGGTCAGAGGCTTCTCAGATACCCCTCTGGTGCCATCACTTGCAACTCAGAGCCCTCAGGAAGGACAGAGCACCCAGGTCTCTCACCTACAGTACAACATGCTATCACAGAGGAGACAGCTCCAGGAAAACCTAACAGCATCACCAGCAGAGTGAAAATCATAATTTGCCTAATTTCACAACAAAACTGGGACATTCCATCCAGCTAGGATACAAACCAGCACCCACACTCTCCTCTTTACCTTTCCTAAAACAAATCCCCCCCAAACCAGCAGAACATGAACTCCAAGAAATCCACACCCCGTGCGGATATTGCAACAACAGAACAACCCAGCAGGATGGCAAGAGACATGGAAAAAAAGGGTTGGAAAGGGGAATAAGAGGCAAGAAGGTACTTACAGGCATGCCTTCCCTAGTAAAGGCTGCAGAGAGACAGAGAGAACAGAGAGAGGTGTCAGTAACTCTGTGCCACACTGGGCAGAGGACAGTGGACAGCAGCGAGGGGCACTGGGCAGCCAGAGCTGGCAAAAGGTTTTTTTGTGAGGCTCAACCAGCCCAAGCAGAGCCCTGGGAGCTGACACAGACCCAGCTGTCCTGGGAGGCTCATGCAAAGCAGCAACCAAGCAGAGCAGTGGTGGAGCGCAGAGCCATTCCTAACCTGGGCAAGGAGGGGACATCACACCAACACAGACAGCAGGGACAGGGGCTGGGCAAGACAGCCACACCCAACAGGCAGCTGGTGGGGAGGGCAGCGTGGCAAAGGCTCCTGTAGATCATACAGGACTCCTCAGTGAGCTTAGGAGAGGGGTTTGTGCCTGGGAAAGTGAGCAGCAAGCAAAGCCTCTCTTGCTATGTCCCTTCATGGGTGGGTGACAGAGGAGAGGACACATGAGCACCATGGCAGGGTTTCACCCAGGTTCACCACACCAAGAGCCTTCTACTCAATTTTGGTCCATTTTGCCTACAGCTCCAGCACGAAGGAGACCCTTCCAGCCAAAGAAGAGTCTTGGCAGCAGCTCCTCCTTCAGAGAAGCACAAGAGCATTTGATTTACTGCCATGGCCAGGCCTGCAACAGAGCCAAACACACCCAGAGGGAGGGAAGGCACGAGCCCTTTGCTCCTGCTCACTCCAGGGAGGAGACCCCTCAGGAGGCTGATGGCACTAAATTAATGCAGCCTAGAGCTTGGTGGAAGTTGATGGTGCTCTCAAAACACAAGAGAGGATCAACAGCGACCCAAGGCAGGGAGGGGCAACAGCCATGGGGAGGAAGATGCATCTCAGACAGCAGCACAGCTCACGACAAGTGCAAGCAGCTCCTCAGCTTCAGGAGTGGACAGGAGGACAACAAACAATAAAACAACGAGAACAACAACAAAAAAAAAAAAAAAAAAAAAAGGAAAAAAAAAAAAAAAAAAAAAAAGAAGAGTTCAACTAACTTGTCCCGGCATCTGCGTGGGCACTTCCTGAGGAACACAGCCTGGCAGGGCAGGAGAAACAGCCACATGCTCCTCCAAGCTGTTGATGCGAGGTTTTTTGGTGGGCTCAGGGCTTGCTAGAGGGGTAACGCTATTACGTCTCATGAGCGGGTTAGGTCCCTTCTTTGCTTCCTAAATTAAAGTGAGACAAAGAAAATAAAAGTAAATATAAAAAAATAAAGCAAAATAAAGGGAAAAAGGAAGAAGGCGACAGTTATAAAGGAAAAAAAAAGAAGCAAGTTGCTTTGGTTTTCTTTTTTTAAAATCTTAGAGTGGTCTCTGCTTTTCCCCACAGTCACTGTCCATGAGCAAAGGATGCACTGGAAGTCTCTGGGCACAAAAATAAAAAAACCCTGATGCAAAACGCTTCTTAAGAGCACAGAAGGGGAAGGGAGGAAAAAAAATGGCTCTGCACTCAGATATGAGACAGATTTTCTCCTTATCTGAGTCTCAGCTGACAAAAAAAAAGGTAACTACAGGTAGCTGAACACACCCAGCAGCCAACAAGCCATGACTCTGCAGGACACAGAGGTGCCCATCAGTCTCCTCCTCAAGGCTGGTCCCTCCACCCAGAGAGAGGAGTGAAAGCAAGAAGAGGGAAGATGAGCCAGCCCAGGCTGATCAGGAAGATCTGGGGCATGGGAGCAGAGCAGGCAGTGAGGGTCAGCACCACACCAAGCTCCAACTCAAGCAAGGGGGATGGAGGCAAAGCTGAGCAGGGGCACCCAAGCACTTGGCACTTGTCTCACCCTGTCCAAGCCAAGGCCCTGCTGCCATCCCCAGAGAGGGTGGCAGAGCAGGACATCAGTGTCCCCATGCGGGGGAAGGACTGGCTTCCCCCTACAGCTGTGGGGAGGGAGAGGCAGCTCAGGTGCTGCCACCTGACAGGGGAAGCAAAGGAAAGGAGATGTGGGCCAAAAGCATCACTTTGGGCTTCACCACTAAGCACAAGCTGGAGATGTCCCAGCATCTTGGGACATGGGTGCTGCCCACTCTGTGTGGCTGCCCAGCCCTGACACTGAGTTTTGTTCTGCCCTCTGAGCTCCAGTGGAGCACTTGGCAGACAGACCCAACCCTACAGGAATTCTTCTCCACAAGACCATCCCCAGCCCAGCACTGCCACCTCCCACCCTGCAGAAGGACAGAGAGCCACGGACATCCCAGGAAAACACCCTCAGAGGCAGATGGAGGGCAAGCATTGAGCCCAAGCTCTGCCAGCCACCTGGGACACCTGGGAGAAGTCACCTTCTCCATCATCCACAGCTCCACTCCCTGCTTGGGCCAGTGGATGACCATGCATGTGGAAGTCAGAGACCAGGGAGGAGTTTTCCCTGGACAAACACACTGGGAAGCAGGAACATGCAACAGTCCTGTTCCCTTGGAAAACCCTCAGCTGGCCACGACTTTGCAGAGCAAGAACACATCTGATGCTTCCAGTTTTCCAGCAGCACTTCCAAGCACCCAGCTGAGCAATCTCCCCATGCCCACCACCACCCCAGGCAGGATTTGGGCAGTCCCCACTGCCTGGTGACCACAGGGGACAGGAAGGGGACACCAAAGGACAGCTCCAGGGAAAAGCAGCACTTACCTCTGGCCGATCTCTGTGGGTGTTGACTGCTTCAATGTTCAGGGAGATGGATTCCACCCGGCAGCCTGCACAAAGGGACAGATCAGCCGGGCCAGCAGGCACAGGATGTTCCCAAGGGCCCCACCACAGATCCCTGCTTTTCCCCCAGACAGCCTGGAGTCAGGAGGAGGGACAAGTCAAGCCCCTTGGCATGTTTAGGAAGGTTTCACTCACCATAGGCTACCGGGGTCAGCTTCAACACTGTGTGCAGGGGACATTTCAGGTAAGGCATTTCATCTGCAGAGACAGCAAAGCAGGAGGGTTACCTGAGCAGGAGGCTCAGACACCTTCATCCCACACCAAAGAGATGCACACTGCTGTCACAGATACATCTTATGAAAAATCCTTTCCTTAGGATTTTTTCTCCTGAGAAGCTGAGAAGCTTCAGGAACAAAATGCCTCAGGAACAAAATGTCTCAGGAACAAAATGCAAACAATGATTATCTGCTGCTGCTGTGGAATGCAACAGGTGCATCTGTGATTGGTCTCATGTTGGTTGTTTCTAATTAATGGCCAATCACAGTCAGCTGGCTTGGACTCTCTGTCCGACACACAAGCTTTTGTTATCATTCCTTCTTTCTTTTCCTACTGTTAGCTAGCCTTCTGATGAAATACTCTCTTCTATTCTTTTAGTATAGTTTTAATACAATATATATAATAATATAAATAATATATTAATATATAATAAAATTAATAAAATATTAATATATAATAATATACACTAATAAAATAATAAATCAGCCTTCTGAAACACAGAGTTAGCTCCTCATCTCTTCCCTCATCTTAAGACCCCTGTGAACACCATCACACACTGCAGGATGTGAACAGCCCAGAGCTGCATCCATCATCCCTCCTCCAGCAGGGCAAATCCTTTTCCAGGGCAGGGAGCTCACCTGCACTCTTGTCCAGGAAATAGGCCAGGAGACAGCGCATGACAGCCTGGTGGCAGATGACAAGGACGTTCTCTTGCCTCTCCAGCTCCATGATCACTGGCTCCAGGCGCTGCACCAGGTCCTGGTAGGACTGGGGAAGAAAGGGAGGGAGGTAAGGCATGGAATCAATGCAACGAGCATCCCAAAGAAACAACAGTCCTTGTCTTGGTACACCTCCTGATTCTGTGCCTCTGAGCAAACCAAACTGCTGAAGACAAATAAATCCTCATCCCCAAGCTGCTCTGGAACTTGTAATTCTTCTGCAAGAGAAGGAGGCATTCACATCTCACTGAATCACAGCTCAGGCCTGGAGAATTAACTAAGGTAAGCAACAAGGGCTTTGAAGATAGAGCCTCTCCATCATCTTGACATCTGATTTGCTACAGGATTTCAAAGTTCTGAGAAGTCTGGAGCAACCTGAGAAACCCCAGAGTTTTGAAAGGCCTCATAAAAACCACAACAGTCAGCCAGAAGGAGCCCCAGACACCCAGAGTTGGTGTCTCATATCCCCACATATTCTTCTGTCAGATACAGGGTCATGAGGATGTCTTTAATGATTTTTCTGCAATGTCTATGGGCATGACTTTCAATTTGGGGATAATCAGCTCAATTCACAGCCTCAAGTATCATCCAAAACTGATGTCAATTCCCACCTCATTGTGTCACACCCTGAAAGCAGACTGCCAGGAACAGAGATATTACCATCAACCCTTAGGGAATGATACTGAGAACAAGGTGAAAATTGCTTTTTTTGGAAATGAAAGGAAAGAAAATTAGGGCAGCACAAAACTGTGAGCAGATATAACAACAGGAGGTTGGACTAGAAACCTCTAGAGACCTTTCCATGCTAATTTGCTATAAAGTCAGTGGGACTGTTTGTTAAGTGACATATTTCTTAGTGAGATCTTCATATAGCAAGATTTTGAAAGAGCTCAAGGTAAACATGATCCCTGCTCTCTATTAATTTTAGTTTCTTGGGGCTCCCATTGCTCCTCTGCTCAAGAGTAGACACAGAATGAGGAAAAAAAAGGCCACATTTAAAGTACAAACCCTGCAGACTTTGCAGGGGTGTCCCTGCACACCTACCTCCCCAGAAGGATAACGGTAGTAATATTTATCCTGGTCACGCAGAGCAAATTCCTCTGGGTGCTGCTCCCTGATTTCTTCATAGGTCATTTCTTCACACACACCCTGCCAGGGCAGGAAAAGCAAGAGATTACTGGACATGCTCTCAGCACAGCCACAAGACAAAACCTCTCTTTCTCTTGTTCAGCCCCATCCAGCTGTTGTGGCTGCACAGATACTCACAGCATCGATCTCATTGAGTGCCTTCCACTGCTCATAGGGCAGCTGGAGAGCTTCTGCTGTTTGGATTGTCCTCTTTAGCTGGCTAGTCCAAATTTTGAGATCTTTCAGGTTCTGCTCTTCCACAAATTTGTTCAGTGCCACTGCAAACTGTGGGATATAGAAAAAAGAGGTTGATTCCTGGTCCACAGCTTACTTTGTTCCCTATTCCCAGTAAGTGCTGCCTCCCACAGGCACAAAGATCAGCCTAATGCTCTGAGGGGAAGGGCAGCCACACATTCATTGATCCCCAAGAGCTGCAGATGGATCCTCAGCAGCCCAGCTGTCATCAAACATGCATTTTATAGATGAGTAATGCAATGATTGACTCTCACAATTAACAAATATCACGTATACAGGTTAAGAAAAGTTTTATAGATTTATAGTTATGTTTTACCCCTCATGTGGTTATCAAGGGACATCTGGGAGGGCTGGTTTGTCACTGTGGTGACATCTGACCTCCAATCAGAATTTGAGGAAGTGATCTCCACCACTGGACAGCGAAGGTGGAATAAATATCTATCTGGGGTGTTCCAAAGAGAATCCACCAGATTCTCAGGTGCTAGGTCAGGTTCTCAGAGTGGCTGCATTCACATTGGACAAATGGGATGTGCACATCCAGGAGACAAAAGAAACAGATCTTTCACAATTGCAGTGTCCATGACAAGCTGGGTCTGCCTGAGGAGCTGGAGAGTACATTCCAGCCAAGCAGCAGGTTCTCCAGCAGATGACCCTCAAACCCACACTGCTGAGGATGCTGGAATCATGGAAAACCTTCTGGTGACTCAAAGCCAGGAGAGAAGTGTTTGTGTCCCAGCTAAACCTGCAGCCCTGCTTGTGGTGGCTGAAGTTTAAGTGCATTGATACCACAAATCCAACCTGTGCAAGCTGGTTCACTGCACCACAATGCCAAAACCAGTGGGAATGCCACTTTTCTCTTGTTCTACTTCTGTTTCTGAAGTAGGAAAGCAGGGAAGAAGGGGTTGATGGACAGAACTTTGGGAGGGGTTAAAGGGTTAAAAGGGAAAACCTCCATTGTGTGGGGGAGACACCACATGGCAGGGAAAATATTTTCCTCCCAGCACTGTGACTTTCAGTCTTCTGTTGTATTTTTGATAAGGTTTAATAAAATTAAACCTTATCAGAACTATGAGTAACCATTCCTCACACGTTTAACCCAAGGCACAGCACCTACTGCAGCCACAGGGGGACATTTTCCATCTCCCTCACCTTCTTGCCCCTGTTGGAGAGGCCAGAGTCGCCTCCAATCCTGCCCTTGAGGTTGAACTCGCTCTCCCCATGCCGACAGAGGTAGATGGTGCGGGGCTGGACGTGGATGTTCATCAGGTAATAAACAATCCTGCTCTGGATGTGGTCCTGGACCCTGTTCACCAGGAACCGCCGGCCCACATCGATGACTTTGATGAGAGAAAGTTCCCTGGGGACAGACAGAGACTGTCTATTGTATGTGTGTGTGTCACACACACACA